GTGCTTTGCCCCCGGGCCCCCATAATTATTATCGAGGATTTCATATTATCATCCAAAGCAGCTTCAAAAATTATAGATCCAGCCAAAAAATTTTCAAAATTTATTGAAAAATACAAAAGTTACAGCAAAAAAACATTTTTAATTCTCAACTTCAAGTGCTAATAACTCTACAGGGTGAGCCCGGAGGAAAAAATTTTATATGAACTTGTGACATTATTTTCTCATTATCTATCCATATCCGAGAGATTGCCCACCATTTCCGGAACACCCTGTATACAACAGCGACACCAAATTCTTTAGTATGCATTTGTTTTTAACCATAGCTAACTTAATCCTTTATATGCAAATGTTTGGAGGGAATTTTCGTCAGGTTATAAGAGAGAGAGAGAGACTCGCATATAGATATTCGCATATAGTGTTTTTATTTTTTATTGATTCGTGTTATTACACAAAGTGTAAAGGTACAAGGTCCAAAAAAGTCGTTTTCAATTTTTTTTCTCAAAATCGGTTCGACTAAAAAATTTTAAAGTAGATAGTCATACAGCAACTACAGAATCTTCAGATAAACACTATTGAACAAACAAGACCAGATTGTAAAAGCCAAAGAAAAAGTCTTTGTAGCTTAAACTGCTTTATTTGTCACAACTAGTTTCATGACATTAATTTTTGTCACATCTATTACAATATAGGTATATCAAGATTTATCAAATTAATATAATATACCAGGTGGGGCATTTTTTATCTTGAGGCAAAATAATATCTCGGTTGGACTCGATTATTTCGAAAAAAGTTTCAGACAAAAATTGTACGGTACCAAGGGGGACATTAAAAGGTCCATATTACGACTTCCAGTCTAATCCGGAAGTGGTGTTTTTAGACCGGAAGTTGTTCTTGAGATTAAGTTCATATCTTATTGTAAAACTTTCCGCTCTTGTAATTCCGAGGTCAAAAAAGAGGATCCCATTTAAAATTTTCAATTTGATCTTCAAACGACCTTGAAGTCAAGGTCATATTGAAGGTCATGTCAAGATAGCCCCCTTATCACCCTACAACTTTTGTATGAAACATTTAAAAAAAAAGTGATTCCAACAAGGTACTCCGTTGTTTCAAGATTTTTGTTTTTTTTATGGTCATTTTATGGCCAAAATATGGGTTAAATCGAAAAAATAATAACAAAAAGTTTTTTTTTCGTTTTTCAATCGAAATCCGTGGTAAAAAATGGGTGTTTCCATTAAAAAAAAAACAACTTCCGGTTTAAAAATGCCACTTCCGGTCTAGACCGGAAATCGTAATATGGATCTTTCAATACCTCCCTCGGTGCCGTACAATTTTTGTCCGAAACTTTTTTTCGAAATAATCGAGTCTAACTGAGATATTATATTGTCTCAAGATAAATGCCCCACAATATTAACATAACTATAATAGGTAACAAATAACACTTTAATATTAAAGAAGAGAAAAGGTTTTTTAAGAGAAATTTTCAAGAGTCCTTTTTGTGTAAATCGACAGACGGTTGATAAATCCCTGAAAATATTTTTAAAAAGAGAATCACACAAGTTAAATTGGACTTATATTCAAGCCTGAAGAATTTGTGGATACTGTTTTTTTAGATACACTGTATATTACTGTATAATTATTAGTTATTTTTGTTTAGTTGTTTTCACATATGAACACAGCATGCATTTTCTTGAAAATTGCCGCTGCCACAATTAAAAGTAACATTTGTTAAGAAAATGTTATTACATTATACATTTTTCGTATATATTTAAGTTTGTAACGAACATATTCCGTTGAAATTTAGGTTTAGGAAAATTTAGTTTAGTGTAAGTAAGAATCACATATTTTATATGTTCGTCTCTGAAGGAGAAAACATAATTATCGGCTTAAGAAAGAAATAATATCATTTTCGTACCTTTCTTTGGTAAAATACTTACTTTCTCCTATGCGACTAGAAAAAAATCAATCACAGCTTTCTTTTCCTTTAAATAAAATTCTTTCTGAATTATTATTATTTTTTTTTTAGATTGCATGTATTTCTCCAGCAAGATCTAATATATGCGAAACACTTAACACTCTGCGGTATGCTGCAAGAGCAAAAAAAATACGCACCAAACCTGTAGTATTAATGGTAAGTAATAATATAATTTGTAATAAAATTAGCTGTTGTATTAAATACAAAGTGCTATAAATAAAAGTGGGCTGGGCCGTGAACCAGACCAGTGTATCCAATAGTGTTTTAACCCGCTGAATCCGAATCTAACGTCAGAATTCCCGGATTGGTTCGGTTTTTAACCCTAACATCAAAACACTCCTCTAGAAAGTAGTTTTCGAAATTTCAAACTTACCTGATTAGTCAGTACCTAATTGGAAAAACATTCCCCATAACTTCATAATCCCGTAACCCATAGGTGAGGGTGTAGAATCACGAACCTCTAAGGCAACATATATCTCGTATATCAGGGGTTTGAAACTACATCACTGTGGGTAGGCAGGTTTCTATAACCCCATAACCCCCTAACTCCATAACTGGGATATGCGAGGATGTATAAGCACGAAACTCTGGAGAATTGAGTCGTGGTCCTATTATAACTCCGTAATCCCTTAACCCGGAGCATGTAAACTGTTAGAATCACGATGTGGAGCATATTGATGTGTTACAAAGTCATCCGAAGTTGTTTTCTCTTTGTATTTCCCATAAAAAACGTAATACTACTTTCTCGATTGTACAATCAGCGATCGTAAGTTTTTACGATCAAAATCGTTCAAACAACAAGGATTTATGGGGTGTCAGAGTTATGGGGTTATAGGATTATGGTGAAGTGAGATCATGAGCTTCAATATTTTTCTACTCACCAACAACTCAAGTCAGTTTAAAACCTCGATAATCGCTTTCTAGGAAACTTTATTGAAGTTAGGATCAAAAAACGAACTATTCTAGGAAATTTTACTTTACATGAGATACACTGGCCTGGTTCACGGCCCAGCCCATTTTTTTTTTGTGGCACCAGTTTGAGTCCAAACAAGATGTTCTGAGATCACTCAAAAAAATTCAAACTTGAAATTTTGAGATGAAATTTAAATTAGAAATTCTTTATTAAAGTTTCCTTTTACACCCTTCGCAATAAATTTATAGGATCCTCGCGAGGCACTAATCCTGAGTCTAAAACGAGAAGTTACTGTGCTACAAAGTGAAAACGAACATTTACGATCTGCTCTGAATGTATATTCCGAATCTACTTTGGGTGACACGTCTGCCGGTAAGTGTGAGTAGCTATATAATACGATAGCCTTTTGTTTAATTTACTAATTTCGCATAAGAGCTCTGTCGATATCACTTTTACTGATACATGTAAATTTCTTGAAATAAAACACTATAAAACATTTACCTAACTGTTACACTCCAATTGGTAGTTATATATACTTTCAAAGATCGCATAAAAATATTTTTTCCAGGTCGCAGAATAATTCTTACTCCATCTCGCCACGTGGACTTGGAGCAACTAGCCCAATTGGAAGGTCCCCAATTATCTGATCTAGTTCGACTTTACATAAAAGAAAACGAAGCACTGAGAAAAGACAACGAAGAATTGTTCTCTTCTAGGGAGTTGCTACAACGAGACCACGAGATTGTATGCAGGGAAAACGAGCGGCTGTTAAAAAAATTAGAAGAAGTAAACTCGTAAGTATAACAGAAATTACTGTGTGTAATCTTATATAGTATTTATCTTAGGGTATGTTGTAGATCCCCACTTATACCAGCAAGGCCGGCCTTCTCTGCGGAAATGTTGAATTCTGATTTGGATTCGTCAACTAATATTTGGACCAATCCCATAGAAGACAAATCACCGGTAATTTTGTTTTCGGATAATGTGATTATATCCCTTTTTTATTGCTAGATGTTTTTTAATTTGGGGTTTTCCTTTTAACCATACATACAGAACTCAATAAAGTAATCAAATCGTTTATATAACATTTTCATTTTTTCATAATGTCAAGAATAACCGGAAAGCCATTTAAAAAGTTAATTTTTTATTTTCGTTATTTTACGATTTTGAGTTCTATACCATGTTAAAAGGAAAAACTCCTACTTAAAAGACATCCGGTATAAAAATAATGCTAATTGGATTTGTAGGACAATATTACATCTAAGGAAATACCAGATTTCATAAAAAAGGAACTAGATAAGCGCCAAATCGGAGATAAGTAAGTACCTAGAAATTACGATGCAAGTAGAACAAAGCGAGTTGTTTGGCCACAAATTATTAATAGTCCAATAAGCCTTTAAATCGAAATTTTGGTCAACTTGCCTGAATTTTTTATATGAGTTAGTTTGAGGTATGTTATAACAATAAGTGACAGTAATTTTTTGTTCAACCCCCGGCCAAGGGTGAAAAAAATTAAAACAAAGGGGTTTTTCAAGATACTGTAACTCAAAACGAGTAAGGGCTAGAAAAAAAAGTTTCGTATAAAAGTTGTAAAGCATACAATTCTACATGGCCCCTTGACTTTTTCTTGTATTATTAAAATTAACAGAGTTAGGGAGGCTTGAAGTTAAGGGAAGATTTCAGAAATTTAAAAAAATCATAACAAGCAGAAAAACGAATGAATTTTGTAATTTTTATTTTTCAATCTACTCTAAAAAATGTAAAGAGACACGTATTTTTTTTATCGGCGGAAAAAAACATATTTACGGGGTGAAATACACCCTCAAAGTTTGCCCCCCAAAACAGTTTTTTCAAAATTTCTGGGGTTCTAATCAATATTTTGAAATGAAACAAAATGGAAATTAATTATGATAAAAAACAAATATTTCGCAAGTGATTCCGTGTTTGGGGGTTGCTACCCTTATTTTTTATTTCAGAAGAACTATATTTTTTAAATAAAAAATATAGTTTTTCTATTTTCATTCAGTCATATTCATTTTATAAATATAAAAAAATCATATTTACTTAAAAAGAATTAAAAATATGATTTATGTAAACAAATTGACAACAGTAAATTGACCTGTTTCGAGGTTTTCGTTAAAATCTTTGTTTAGGGGGGTGAACAACAAATTTGAAATTGTTATAACTTTCTTATTAAAAATTAAAAAATATATCTATTTCTCTGAAAAGAAAGGTTACATTTTTTAGAGTAGATCGAAAAAAAAATTACAAAATTCATTCATTTTTCTATTTATGATTTTTTTAATTTCTGAAGTCTTCCCTTAACTTCTAGCCTCCCTAACTCTGTTGATTTTAATAATACAAGAAAAAGTCAAGAGGCTATTTTTATGTAGAATTCTATGCTTTACAACTTTTATAAGAAACTTTTTCTTCTAGCCCTTACCCCTTTGGAGTTATCTTGAAAAACCCCTTTGTTTTATCTTTTTTCACCCTTGGCCGGGGGTTGAACAAAAAATTACTGTCACTTATTGTTATAACATACATCAAACTAACTCATATCAAAAATTCAGACAAGTTGACCAAAATTTCGATTTAAAGGCTTATTTAATTGGACTATAAATATGAAATTTAACTTAAATATTTTAAAATGAAAGTGTTGTTAACAAAAATGAATGTCCGGTCATCTCTATCTCAATTCTGAAAAACTCAAGTAATTAGATTCCAACAGACAAAAATATTGTGCGAAATTAAGTTTAACTCAAATATTTTACGATATGAAAATGAAATTAAATTTTTGTGACTAACAGACCAATGCCTAATCTGGTAATCTCATTGTACTCAGTTAATATCGAAATTAAACTCGACATGTTACTTGATAAAGAACTTGAAACCTGTTTTAACTTTTTACAATTAATAACTGTTTATCAAGCCATCAAGCGTATGTGAATTCCAGATTGAGATATGGTGGGTTTTTTGGGGAAATTCCTGTCTTGTATCAGATATTTTTATTTCATAAAAGTGTATTTTAAGATACATGCCTGGAATATCTTGTGACCATTCATGTAGACAAATTTTTTAAAATGCTAATATTTTAAATGTTGTATCTTGTCTTTGAACTGTTCGTATACGTTTTTAGAAATAAATCCACTTTTAAATTAAATGAAACAATTCATAATAAAAGCACTCACTGTAAAAAAAATCGGTATGAGTGAAAGTAATAAAGGCTGAGTGAAATTATTAACTACATTTTCACTCATTATTTGACATTTTGATCACTTTACTTATTTGTGATTATATTTACCTAAACTAAAACTGAGTACTTTCACTCAAATATAGGTACTCCTCAAATAAATTCTTCACGTAAACTCGTATTTGGTGCACTTGTACCTGAATCAGAGTAAATGTCCTCAATACTGAGGGAGTTTAAATGTATATTAATTTCGAGTAATTACTTACATATTGCTTCTGTAATCTCGACCACAGTTGATAGGGGCCCGTTAGATGCTCCAGAAAAGCGTGATCGCTAGGAAAACAGGCCGGCGGCGGCGGGTCTCTACTGGCGGGTCTCGGCCACGACAGGAGGAGGCCCCGCGAAATGAATTAATTTCGACACTGCTTATATATTAATCATTTATGAGTGATCAGAGTGATTTACTTTTGCGCTCAATATTTAGTTAATTCAAAAAAAAGTTGACAAAATAACTCAATAATAGTTAAATTTAAATCATATTACGTCAACTCTGAATTGGTTTTATTTACTCAGAATAGAGTCAAAAGTCGCTCAATTGATAGTTAGCAGTAACTTGGATTTGAGTAAAACTCACTCATTTCTGATGCAATAGTTTTCACTCAGTTGTACTCATACTCATACTAAGAATGAAAATTTCACTCAATCGGGTGTGGACAAAAATTGATACATTATTGAGTCAAATTGAGTGAAATTTGAGTGAATTTTTTTACAGTGTAGGCGAAAATAAAAAATTTTACATCCCTTTTTATAAATATAAAGTATCTTGTGATTCACCTTCCTTCCGGAAGGCAATTTAAAGACTTCAAATAATTTTATATTTTTTAAGAAAAAGTTTCACAAATATTTAATAAATAATACATTTTATACTTTAAACACAGACAAAATAACTATAACGATAAGCTATATTGTATGTGTTTTAAATGATTTTTTTGTTTCCTGAAGTGCTAATAAATAAGATATATAGTAGGTAGTTTTAAGTTGTTTTAAGCATAAAAAAGTGACTATTCCTATACAATATCTGTCTTTAAGGAAAATAAAGTCTATTTTTTATTATTATTGACAGGGACAATACACAAAAACAAAACCAACTCTATAGACAATATACAATACGCGCAATTTCAAAATTTCCGTTACTTTTTGATCAAACCTCGTATATAAATACATTTTGCTCTAATTTTTCAACAATCAGAGGCACATAATTATGGTTATGTTCTTTCAAACAAATGCGGACCTATGCAAAATTTAAAATTTGATTTTCGCCTATGCCCCGCTGCTGAAAATGTGTTACTAAAAACTTTATCACGATTTTTGAAAAATGCAATAAGAAACAAACAAAAACTGATGGCTCGGACTATTTTCATAAGTTTCGGTCATAATATGCACTATCCACTAGTAGTATATCTTAATAACACAATATAAATGATGACAGAGTAGCTCCATTTTAGGGTATATAAGATCTTACATAATCTCATATTGCCAATGTTATAGGAAAACATCAGGACGTGGACCACGCAGATTCAACTCCTTAGATGACAAGTCAAACGCGTCGAAACCTATAAGATTAAGAAATTCAGAATCTGTGGATGTACCAGAATCGAGGTAATTAACCTTACAAGTCTTACGACGTTAAAATAGAAGTAAATAATGTTTATTCGCCGTCAATCCGCGTATAACTCAAAATAATCGAAATCTAAAGTTACGGTCTAGCTAAAGCAAACTAGGGTTACTTTTGAAGTACACTGTACAGCAAAATGAAATTTTCTCTCAACGGTAGATAAAAGGTATCTTTTATTGAAAACACAAGTGCAGTAAAATGAAATGTTATCGGAGTAAGCGTTCGCGAGTAAGCGCGAGTCCTCTTGTGGAGTCGCTCGCAGGTATTCGTATCCAGTCCCTGGCGCCAATCTGCCAACTTCGCTAGCCCTTTTCCTGAAACCATAGTGTGTGTGTTCCGCATTGCAGATTTTCGTGTTTCTTGTCGCTTGCAATTGTCAGAGTGGTCCAGCGTTAGCTTGCCGCTGTTAATGTGATATTTACATGGGTTACATGCAAACATGTGTACCCACAGACTACTTGCATAACTGAAATGATATGACCAAGATGCGCAGATCAGAGTGGAGTACTAATGGCTAGAAACACCTAATCCACTTGGCTCCGAGGTTCTTCCATGCGTTTTCTTATGTAAGCCAGAGATAACTTTAATGAAATCATTTTTACGATTTAAATCTTTCATACGTATTAAATGAAGAAAACACCTGACCGCTATCTATCTACGTGAAGGTAGGAAAGATAATATTTTTTTTTAATAAAGAATGAAGGAAAGGGTGCAAAAAATGTTGTGAATTCGGTGTCTCTCGGAACTATTCATCGGAGTGCGCTCTATCTAGACTAGCATAGATTTTTTTGCTGAAATTAGATACATGATGATCAAAAAACACCCTTCCACACCTCCGATTTATTCATATTCATATGTATCGACATTCTTGAGTTGACTGTTCCGGGAATATTTCATTGTCTACAAAATTTACAGTTCGAATAATCATAAAAACATTGTAAATCCATTGAATTTTGCACATATTGTAAATAATGTCACATCTTTAACAGATGATATTATTCACAAACTTCAATAGTCTATATCTTAAAAACTAGGTCGTATATAAAATATCCATGTTCATACCCTCTTCCTTAAATCGTCTTCTTTATTATCGGAATTATTCTTAGTGTATATTTTAATTTATTTAACTTATTAAAGAAGAAAACTATCAAAATATTCTGTATAACTTTATTACTATTTACAACAAAAACATTTTTTTTATGACTAATAACTTCATAATCATAAAAATATTACCAATGAAACACTTTTCTTACGGCTGTACTTGGAAAAAAGTGGATAAATCCCAAAATTTTAGAAAAAATTCTTATTGCTCAGGAAGTCGTAAAAGACGTTACAAAGGACACCACACAAAACAAATGAAAAATTACTATGGTATGATAAATAAGGTGGTCTGTGGTATGGTACATACGCAGATTTGAGTGTGAGAGCGTGTTCATCATATGTCCAAATACTTTGGAATAGCAAAGTTAAACAACTCCATACTCCATACGCCATTATAATATTTTCAACTATGATATTAGTTGTATTATTTTTATTAAATAATTTTCTTACTTCTGAGACTAACTAAGACTAAATTAGCTCGAAGGAAAGTAAAGAAGACTCTAAAAAGAATACATTTGGGTAAAGTAACATGTTAACAAGTAAGTTATTGATTATTTATTCAAGATTTATTTGTTCGTCATGATGATTTTAGATTATCTCCAAAACCATGCATAATGTTTAATTATAAAAAGTGTGATTGTATGCCAATTAAAACCACACGCATTTAAAAAAAAATTTCCTACGCCCTTTTGGAGACGAGTTAAACTTTTTTTTTCAAAAAATCACAGTGCCTCGGTAAAAATCGAAAGGGCCCTTGGTTATAAATCAAAATTCTATTTAAATACAGCTAAATTAGGTTTTAAGCTTTAAAAATCGACTTTCTAAACCCTTTTTTGTTAATAACAATTACAAAGCGTTTGAATCTGGTTCGGGCTGAGGAAAATTGATTATGCCACTCAATAGAGGGCAAAAAGCTGCCATGAGAAAGTGTTCTTCTTTTTTCAATATCACCTCGAACAAGGCTGGAATGAAACAAAAACGGATATCCAAAATTTCGTTTTTTTTTTTCAAATATTTCGAAAACTAATCATGTTAGCTTTGATTTTTTAGAGGCATAATGTCGGTCCCCTATAATTGCCCAACTTTATTTATTTATTTTATTTATTTATTTAAGTTACACCACCTGACAGTTAAAACCAATTAATAGGTGAGAGAAATAGCTAATAAAAATAGATGCATTAACAAAATCAGATTACTAAAGTACAAGAGTAAAAAAACAGTTAACAATAATACAGATTATAAAAGTTACAGAAAAATTATAAAAGATAACCACTGTGTCCCCATTTAATCTAGTTTGTATCTCCATGGTTTCAGATCAGTTGTAAGCATTTAAAAAAGCTACCTTAATTGGGGTAAGGGGTTTCTAAAATTCTTAGTTATTCTCAGCTTAAATTTATTAATGTAAAAAGAACAAATACTTTTGTAAAATAAAGTAAGTACCTATCTTAGTTACTCTCACTCTCGGTTAAGAGAATACAACTATTGACGCATACCGATATTCCTGACTTTTGACCCTTTATATTTCTAAAACTGGCCATTTTCAGACGTTGGACCCATGAGAAATGAGTCATGAAGTACAACGTACTACATTCTCTAAGTAGGTACGCCACTCTTGGTACAGCTGCTTTTATTAATATGTGATTTATCAGTGAACAATACAATCATTAAATATTTCCAATTTTTATTGTCCCTATGCCAAATATACATTTAACCTTTAAGAGATCAAAAATTCTGAGATAGATTAGAAAAAAGCACCACATCAATTTTCTTAGTGAACGACGAATGTCTTTTTTTAGTATCCTAGTTTTGTTTCTTGGACACATTTTTTACCTTTTGGATTTATTTGGTTATCAATTTTAAGTTAGTAACGTTTTTCAATCGTTAGTTAACAACTAGTATACAGGGTGATCCACCTAAGAGGGATTCTTCTGTAACTCTGTAACTGTCAAATTTATAAAAAAAAATGGTTTTAATAAAAGTTGTCTGGAATCATGTGGGTCATGTAAAGAAAGTATTTTTCGCTTTACAGAGTGTTCCATTTCGCGTGGGCGTTATATAACTTTATTATTTTAAATGGAACACCCTGTATATTATTGCGTTTTTGAATTCCTTGGTTAATATTGGGTAGAGTTTATTAAATGTACATGGTGTTTAAAACTTACCGTTTTCGTGATAATCAGTTATTTTTTAAAAAATTACGATTTCAGCTCTCTAAATGAGGCTAGAGAGCGCCTAAACCGTAAAAGTTAGAAACCTGTAGTTTTCACGGTTCGGTTTGGCGTAAATTATCATGTCATCTGTGAGCAAAACGTGTACATTATTCAGACTCGGAAATACGGAGTTTTTTTCAAAAACAACTGAATATATAATAATAAGTTTTAAACACCATGTATATTTAATAAACTTTACCTAAATTAACCAAGGAATTTAAAAATGCAATAATATACAGGGTGTTCCATTTAAAATAACAAGGTATGTAGCGCCCACGCGAAATGAAACAGCCTGTAAAGCTAAAAATATTTTTTTTACATGCATGGCCCACATGATTCCAGACAACTTTTATTAAAACAATTTTTTTTATAAATTTTACAGTTGCAGAGTTACAGAAGAATCCCTCTTAGGTGGAATACCCTGTATATGATTAATCATAACTTTATTCTTTTATAAGTGTTTAGTTAAGAAACAACAATTTTCTCTAAAAATCAAAGTTATCTTAATATATTGTATTTTAGCGTTTCTATAACGTGATTAGTTGTATACATACATGTTTTTAATAATTGTAATTTTCTAATTCAGCGAGAAGTAATGATCTAAAAAACGTATTTAGTTACTAATTTCTATATTTAGCGACTTGTTCATGTCGTACGATGACTTTGATGAAATAATGGCCGATGTTTAAAGACTAGAGACTATGATTCATCTATGATCTATAAACTAAATTTTACAGAAACCCATCCAGTCAATATTTCCTTATCCTGAATATATTTTCTGTTAAATAAAAGTGTGTACAGTCGACGCAAGATAAAGGTTTCCAACCTAAAAGGCATACTACTTTTATAGGGGCGAGTCGGTGGACTATTAATAGGAATTTTGGGCGGCATCAATAATTAGGGGCGTGTCATATTTTTTTTTGTGTAGGCACGTGTGTAAGGACACAACAATAAATTGCAGGCCTTTAGTATATGCATTATAAAAAGAGAAGAGTATACAGATTTTGAAATTATTTTGTCTTGCCACATTATTTTTCTTGTCCTTGAGAAAATTAATATTTTGAAATAAGAATTTGTCATATTCTGCAGAAAGTAGGTAGGTAGGTCAAGAAGGCAACAAAATAAAAAAATATTGTAAACTACAGTTTTATTATAACTTATACAGTTTCGGGAGGAAAGGGAAATATTTTAAGGACGTGTTCTGGAAGTGAAAAGAAGTAAATAAGTTCATGACATTATGGGTCCGGAAATGTTTCCTTTCTGAGATAGATGTCG